ATTTATAAATTATGTGTATTATGTTAACAATTATGATAAAACGTTTAACCAATTACAAACATTCAATAATAACTTCTAAAAGTGGTACATTGATCTAAGTTAATTATGATTATTGACTCACGAAATAGCTTGTAATAGGAAAAAAATCCAACCTAGTACTCTTCCGAATGAAGTCAATGGACAATGGAACAACGATAGTGACGTCTAAAAAAGTTTACGAGGTACACTTGAATTGCTTACACAATGTCTCCCATCTACATCATCTAAGGTAGTACATAAGCTAAAGAACACGGTTGTATAATAATTGAAGTAATTAGTGTATTATTATTTTGGCTCGAGTTGAGAAAAAACACGGTCTCGCGTGTTACACGCTTGGCGGCTGTAGAGTTGAAATTATTATAATAAGGGAATGTAGCGCCCGTAAAACAAAAATCTGACGTGACTCTTAAAATATTTACTTAGAACAACACAATTTTTAATTTACGTTGTCACAGGTTTAAAGTTCTTTTTTATCTTTAACAATAATGGCGGTTATTTGTCATTTATTTCAGTTAAATTAGTAAATATTATTATTTTACTCGCTTGAAATGATATTATAATTTATTTATTTTTTCATTCTAAATTTTTTTAAATCGAAACCTAACGGAAAACGATGGAAAATATATAAATTACTTTTGGTATTAAAATGTTCGGTTCGTTTATCACTGGGCCGCAAAATCGGATAGGAAGTTATAAAGTTAATCTGACGGGTTTATTCATGGTAATGCATGAATTGATTCCAATCCCAAATAATTTTATACTTTCCTGTAGTTTACCTACAAAATAATGACTTATTTTAAAAAAATATTACACACACCATACAGAACTCTATACGTTCTTTTAAGATTTCTTGACAGCATAAAACTCAATTCACACAACAATAAAATGCACATTCAATACGCATTTCTATCCAACTTAATTCATAAATAACGGTTATACACCCGATGGCGTATTAAGGGTTTAAGCGCCAAAGTGCAATTTTTATTGGATGGCCAACCTAAAATTTTGTATTGAACAAAAAAAAAATTTTCAAATTATTTTCGAAAAAATTGTCCGGTTTAAAAAAACTTAAAATTTACATAAAAGTAAGAGCTTAAACTATAAACAACATTACATTACATACAATTTTGCTCGAGTGTTATCAGGTTCATCGCTATGATATCTCTAAAAGACCCAGGGGCACACTTATCGTTGCGCTCTGAGGCAGCTACCCCAGATACTCCCTTATGTAGACACTTCATAAAAGAAAAGGTTCGTTTGTAAGTGCAATGTTTTTTATGTGTATAAATATATGAATTTATAAAATCTAGAATTTTTTAAATAAAATTAATAAAAATCTAAATTGTTTCAAATTCAGAAAATTGATCAATTTTTTAAAAATTACTTTTTATGGATATATTTTTTTTTAACGCTTTAAAAGCTCATTAAGGGCCTTAGCGGCCTCCAAAGGAGGAAGTTTCTAAGCCATTGATGATACTCCGGGACGGTTGGTTAGTCCATCGCCGGAGAAAGGGATGGCCACTTCAATTACCAAACTGATCTCTCGTTCGGCAAATGAAGCCGCTCGTAACAGAGTTTCGAACCCGAGACAGTGCGCGTCGAGCATTGCCGTGTTACCGACTGCGCCACACCGTCCCTGTTTACGGATATAATTGATTAAAAATTATCAAAACAAATTTTGTTGATATCATACTACTGAAAATTTGTATGTATTCACTAGACGTTACGATGTACCCGAATTCATTAAATTCTTACAATCGTAGGTACTAATCAATTTTTATATTAATAATATTTATATTTCATTTATTTTCTTAAAAATTTACTGTTGAGAAATTTGATATATACTTTATTGATTATTTAAGAAATATGTATTGTGTCTACACTTTTTTTAGTAAATTTTTTAATTATTTTCAAGTAAAAACATGTAGTTGTTCGCAAATTCAACTGTCCCACGTAATCTTCGGGAACATTTAAAATATTTTCCACTAAGAATAATTCAAGTATAGTTTACAATAATTTTTGTGATATAATACAACTTGATATATTCTCATATAAAACAGGTAATACAACAAATGTACACGCAATATATTCAAACAATTTTTCTAATAACTTTTTCAATAACAACTATTAATAAAATTTATATTTTATAATAATTAATATAATTTTTTTATTTCAATACATTTATTAAAAAAAACCTAAATTTTTTTTCTTAAATAAAATATTTTAGAGACCCAATAAAAATGTACTAATTAGTAGGTACATTTTTAATGGCTTATGAAAGATGTCTAAATATCCTTTAGAAAGATAAATTATTAATTCAATTAATTATTATAGCTAATTAATTGCATTACTGAACACAAGGTTTATAAGATTGTTTATTGTTGTCGACAATGCATATTACAATTTAGTTCATTATACAGTCAGGTATTAATAAATTTTGTCATTAACTAAAACTGTGTGTGGTCTAACACCAAAAATATTTGCCAGGCGATAATGAATAGTAATTTATAGGAGCTTTTAGAGAGGTTAAAAACATATTAGGATGATAATCAAATGAAATAATGTCATACAAAAGACATTGTGAACCCTGAGCGCATAATGCAAGACACAGGCGAAGTGTACTTAAAGCTGTTTCTGTCCGGCATGTATAGCAGCGTATAATAGCTGTGGCTGTATACAAAAGCGAACGGCAACGGCAGTAAAAACAGAAGCTCTCCAGACAGCTGAATAGAGTTAATTGTGTGTCTGCCTTCGAGCCATTTTTTTTATAATATCCGCGCGGCATATAATACACAGATCGGGTTTCCTCTTTATTCCCTTCCGCTGTCATTCTTTGAACTAAACGGCCACTTAGAGATGGCATGTACTCGATTTTAGAATCGAATGAAAGGCGCGTGCGACAAAAAAACAGATTAAATTTAAAAAAAATTAAAGGAAATAGAATTTCAAATTGCCTGCGTACACGTTACGGAATTTCATATGTGCACGTAAGAGGTTAAAAGAATCGGTTTACGGTAATTTAATAATATAATGACTAATTTATCGGCGGAAGAAGGGTTCGCCTCGCCAAAAATCATGAATGGACCAGCATGTGTTAAAAAAAAAAGAATTCGACAATGCAGATCGACCAGACAGATATCATTATTTTTTACACAGCCCCCTGCCCTTTTAAGAAGCCTCTATCACAGCCGACAAACAATAATAACAACGCGTATACCCCATGTTTTCTCTATTGTAATGCCGGTTCTCGGTTGTTTGGCAAATTTCAATGGCACCCGTTTGCCTACAAGCTATATAATACACCAGAACATGACTGTGTACAGAGACTAAAAATAAATAATAGTACACTTAATACCTAATAATAGTCTAAATAAGAATTTTTTTTTTAGTTTCTCTCCAACAGATTTATTTGGACCCTGTAATGAACCATACAAGTCCCTGCAGATGATATCTTATAATTGTGAACCGTTATAATTACCAGTGCATGAATTTTTATGGATTTAATAATTCATTCGAGTGTGATTGGTTATTCTTCGAATACAAGTTTGATTGATGACATTTTGATTTTAGACCATGCGTATAGTGTACAAATTGGTCCGAAAAGGAAAACCTTTTTACGGTTCCGTAGTTTTTATAAGGGTTCAGGTGTAATGGGACACAAACATAATATCTTAAGATTACACATCGTATTGTCACACCCTATCTCATATAAATACATGAAATTACATTATACAATTTAAAAATCACACGAGCCTAGACAATCATTTCCACGAATTTCTCAATGAACGTTAAACCGAAAAAAGTTGTTCAGGATAGCGTTTTAAAGAAGTGCTTCAATGCAACAGAAATACAAGCAATAAGTTATATTAACACATTATGGACAATATATTAATACTAAAATAGTATTAGCTAAATGGATATTATAGTTATTTTTTGCTTAGAAAAAGAAATTGTTCAATTATGCAAATGCAATATGAATTTAATTTTAAAAAAAATTGCATTAAAGACGTTTATATTACAAACATTATTTCGTACACAACTATGTGGAATTTTAAAGACATTCTTTATAATTTATTATACAGATATACAATGATATTTGTTAATATCTATGTAAGTTGTTGATCTAGTTATATGTAATTTAATTAAAAAAATTAACTATTATAAAATTGAGAGCGATTCTACACATTATAAAAGTATATTTCTTATGTTCACATTTCTACAATTATTAGAACTAACTATTTTCAATCAAAGCATTCGACTAATTAGCAAAAATGATTAAAAACTTTTTTTACAGTTGTAAATATTTGAGGTCGAAGCAATTAATTTCGATATCTTCTATAGTATATTATTTTGAAAGCTACCAAAATACTTTGCTTATTAAAAAAAAAACAATAAAAAAATAATGGCAATTTAAGAAATTAAAGCTACCTTAGTATAGTTATTTATTTATCATATAACATAAATAGCACCTTTTAAGTCGGTCAATTATTTGAACACCGATAAGATACTGGTGTCCGGTTTAATAAGTTTTGGTAGATAAATTGTGTAACGATAGATTAAAGACGATTAAGAAAACTTTGGGAACACCATCCAGCGTGATATATTTTTAACTTGATGCTTCCTTAGAGTTAATGTATACTTCTAAAGAGTGCATGGAATGAAACAACGAATGATATAAATTATGAAGCAATGAATAATGGGCCATCGAAATACAGGTAAAAAAAGGTGATTTCTACAGACGGCAGTAAGAAAACGCCGCAATGAAATTGTGGGGATGATTATTAAAATTAAAATTGCCTCTCGTGGTAATTGATGAGTCTTTTTGAAATCCGAATGTCGTTTCAGATTTTAGTACAGAGTTTTATACGGAAAAACAACAAACACATATAAACCACAGCTTAGACTGAGGGGATGGCCCGGGGTAGGAGACAATAACCAACAAAAAAAATTAGATCACTTACGATTTCAGACTGGATGCATGTCCGGCGTACGTCAGTGACAAACCATTAATAACCAACGCCAACAACAAGATACGTAAGTGCCAATATTTAGCAGCCACGTTCATTTCCTGTTTATCGTTTTCCATAAATATCCCGTTTAATTGAAACGACCGGGCATTTAATATTATTAATATTTTATTTGAGACCGATCGTCAATTCACATCGGTGAAACACACGGCGAACTTTCCATCGTAACGCAGCGCACGATTCATCTAATTTAAGAAATAATTTTCTCACAATTTAATTTTTTTTTTTAATTCAATCCAATATGATACTCTAAAAACAACAACGAAAAAATCGCGAACCAACCGAAATGAACGACGATTTTTTCACTATGCAATTTTATTTGTCCGCACAGACATGCGTATAAATATTATAAATATATTTATATATATAAATATTATATACGTATCCAGTATAATATTTTATAAAAACGTATTTGATTCAAATGCACTATAATATAATAGGCATCATGATAGAACCGTTCAACAAGAGCGATATAACCGCACACAAGAACACAACACAACGCGCGCCGCCGTACAACAGTCCGTGAAGAGGCGTTACCGTCTGAGAGAACACTGAATTAGAAACCGGCGACTCAGTCCCTCCCATGTTTTTTTTCACAACCCCTTAATCCCCACTTAAAAAATTAATACATGTATCCTACATTATGTGATATTTCTTTCGACAACATAATTATAAAAAAAAGAAAACATAAAAAATTATTTTTAAGTATTTTTGCAAGAAGTCTACATATAAAAAGGACACTACTTTATATCTCCGGATCATGGCAGCTGCCACCTAAAAATACTTGTATACTACAAAATTCAAATATAAAAAAAAAAGTAAAAATTTTCATGTACAATACTAGTTTAGAACTGTCATCAAAATAGGGTTAGAGTAAAATATACAATTATTAACAATGGCGTGTTAGATTTTAAATTATTTATTTATTTTGTTTAATCAGATTATTCGCTTTATTTTTTGCCAACATTTTAATTTTTCTCGACTGTGAAAGATAAGGTATATAAGATATTTAAAATGAGATTAAATAACTATGTGACCTGAATAATATTAACACTTATGGTCGCAAATTAACATGACAATAACTGTATTTTTTGATAATTGTTTAAACATAGACTAATTAAAAAAAAATAATTGAACTTTAATAAGTTCTAATAATATATTTTTAAATCTAGTGAGAAAAATTTAACTTATATAACAAAATAAATATATTGATTAAATCTTAGATATGATTTCTAAAGAGACAATAACTGTACACTTTACCAATGAAGTAAAAAAAGTTCTCGGTTTAAAAATTGTCGACTGATAATTAAATGGAATTCCTTAAGTAAAATGTTAACTCTATTATTTGATGTTAATTTTTCAAATGTACACAAATAAACAAGTTGATTTATTTTGAATTAAATAAAATTATTCGTTTTAAATGGTAATTTTTTTTATGGATTTTGATATGGTGCCTAGAATGATGAAAAGAATTGAGTGAAAAAATTTAACGTTACAGCTTAAATGCATTTAGTTAATGAGTGTTTTATTCGATTAATTTAATTATCAAAATAAAATAATGTTAAAAGTATAGAATTTTAATCAAATCACAACCAAACTAATATAATATTTTCATAGTATTTAAATTGCATTCATGCAGATCAATATAATACTATGGTAAGTTATGTAAGATCGTTCGTACAAATAATGTAAGTTAATTTTTATCATTTTTTAGACGTCACTAAAATATTTTAATCCTATAGGGATTAATTTAAATGTAGGTATTGATATTAATTGATATTGTAATTATATTGTATCATAAATTAAGTGTACTGCTACCGTTGATACCAAAGAAAGTGTTTGAAATATTTATTTACAGGTCAAACTTATTTTATCTAAAAATTAGCTTACCCTACTGTAACTCCCACATAATCGTATAACTCATAAAATATACACACAGTGCATATTCTACTAATAACTCTGGGTATATTAAAATATTCATTTATGAACTTATGTACGCAGTACCCACCTGTCCATGCTATAAACTCGAATAAGCGTACTTTTATTCAGTGATACATAAGAGACATAATGTACACTACACAATACAATAATGTGGGGCGAAAAAAATACACAGCAGGGAGGATATCATCGACACGGTCTAATTTGAGAGTTATGCTATTCGTTCTCAAGCACGAATAAAGAAGTTATTATACAAATTACATACGACCTCCCAGATAGTGGTATATATGGATAATGGTGAAACCACGAAAAAAATATTAAAGATCTAAAAAGAATTGTATGATGATGTTATATTGCAAACAGACATGTAATGTATAAATGATGTGAAGTGATTTAAAAGAGAACAAAAGTGCAGTTTAAAACGACTGTTCAGTGACAATAGTTTATCCTACTATTCGTATACAAAAAAATCTATTCAGTAAATGCTTGTTATTTTTAATGAACCGTTTATGAAAGACATGACTAAAAGCGGAAGCTATGATAGTTTATATAAATAAATAAATAAATTTAAATTGAAGTAAAAATTTATTGAACCTTAGGAGTGTAAAAAATTTGTCAACATTATAATAAAATACAATAAAAATTATCTTTTAGAAATGTATAAAATAATTGGGTTAGATAGCGATAATTATTCCTTTCGTAGATAATCGCAGGAAAATATTACAAGTAGGGGATGAGCAAAAATTAATTTTAATAAGGTGAGGGCAAAATCTTTACTACCGTACTCCTACCACGTGATTTGTTAAATCGCGTTAATATTCAGGTACTAAAATATTTCATTTTTTTAAACATAATGAGTCATTTGTGTAGTTAAATGAACCAGAAGGCCACAATCTAAGAGGCATAATAAGTTATATCACTCATACATACTCATATATCATGAGATTTGAAAAGATTATTACAAATAGTAATGTATGTACAATAATTATTAAAAAAAAAATTTAAATGTGTTAACAAAATTTTAAAATTATAATAAATTAATTTTGAATTACATACTTTTTCGAACTCCATAAATAATAAATGAATAAACAAATCAAAAACACTATAAGGTAAATTCTTCATACTATAAATTATTTTTAAACACATACAACTAAAATATTACGTTTAAAACGAGTTGTGTTAAAATAAAAAATAGTTAAAATGTAGTTTTCAATACAATAAAATATAGTTCCTCTGACGCCATCTTGTGTAAAATCTAACAATATCTGTAAATAAAATAAATATACCAAGGTTGAGTAAGATTAAACGAAGTAAACTCTATAGTACATTATATAAAGTCTTTGGTAATATTTTGCAATCACGGGATAACCTTACCTTATTATGTTATAATAAACACGCTCCTCGTCTTATAAATTTTTATAAACGGAAGTTCTAATTTTAAACGCCACCGAAAGTTATTTTCATACCCAGGTACTTTCCTAAGTTTTTTTATAAACTTTTATTTTATTAGCTATCACGTTTAGATTGTTACGATATGTTACATTATAAAATTATATTATAATTTTTATTGTTCTGCTTAGATTTACTATAGATAATTTTTATGACTCCTTGTTGAAATTATTTCTGTTATCAGTTACTTAAATATTTTTAATAATATATATATATATATTTTTTTTTTTTAAGAATTTATTTTGGAAACAAAACATATTTGGAATTTGAATTCCTTAAAATTACAATTAATTTTTAAAAAATTTAGAATGGGAAGAAAGAAAATTAAAATATCTAAAATTACAGATGACCGTAATCGCCATGTAAGTGCATAACAGCAAAATATTTTTATTTAAATTACTAATGATACTATTGGTATTTATTAGGTCACATTTAACAAACGAAAATTCGGTGTTATGAAGAAAGCCTATGAATTAAGTGTTTTGTGTGATTGTGAAGTAGCTATAATTATATTCAATAAGGCCAACAGGTTGTACCAATATGCTAGTACAGATATGGATCAAGTGTTACTTAAGTATACTGAATATAGTGAGCCACACGAATCCTTAACTAATGTTAATATAATTGAAGTAAGTAATTAAAAAAAATGTTTTTTACTTGTTATTGCAAAATGAAGTTATTAATTATATATTATTTTTAGCAATTGAATAGAAGAGAAGGTTCTAGGCTCTCTCGGACCTCTACAGATATTGACATAAGTGAAGATAGCCAAATAATTAATAATTCCATTCAACAAAGACAGATTCCAGCATCTAAAATTAAACCCAAACACAATGAAATAACTGAAGAAGAATTCCGATTGCTCATGAAACATCAAGAAGATGAACAAGTTAGTCCTTATAATTATAATAAATAATGTTAATTATATTTTGGTCATTATACTTATATATATATATAGATATATTTAATGATTTTATATATTATGTATACATATATATATATATATATATATAGAGTATTTTATACTCAATAAATTTTTAAAATATACTTATCAGTATATGTTAATTTAATCTAAAAGGGTGACAATAGTAATGATTACGAATTTATTCCATCTACCATGCCATTAAAAGATCAAAAGATGTTGTCTTTAAATCAGAAAAATGATCTGATGATGAGAAGACCTAATATAAGTGACTCTGATTTAAGTAAGCAACATTTTTTTAATTTTTTGATGAGCACATAAGTTTATTTTACACTTTATTAGGTGATGTAGAAGTTAAAATTGATGATGATGATGATGACGATGATGAAGAAGATGATGATGAAGAAGACTCTATGCATAAACCTGTGATTAAAAAGTATCACTTGCCAATTGCAGTGCCACTGGATAGAGCTAAAACAAATTCTGGTCTAGCTCAACCAAGATATAGTGCTGGTCCAAGACTACAGACAACACCTAATGTTCATATAGGTAAAGTTTTTCCTGAAATTCATATAAAATAATGATTATGATTATATATAAATCTCATTAAAATTGCTAATTATCAATTAATATAATAATTTTAATTATGATTTTTATTTATTCAAGTTTGTTAATTAGTTGTCAAATTGAATCTTTTTTTTTTTATTTCACATCATTCATATATTTAAATATAGTTTGCCTAAAACAAATTAATATTTTATATATTTATTTTTAATTAGGCTCAGGAAATAAAAATGAAAACAAAGTGGTGAATGACAGAGTGGTACGGGTAAGATATCGACCTTACAGTATATTACCAAGTTCTCGTAAAGTTGTTAATCTGCCTTATAAAAAAAGTGTTGAACTTCGAGCATTATCAGAGAATACCAATGATACTAGCTTAAGAAATCAAAACATTCAAAGTGAAACTCAGGAATCATTATTACAACGACGAATGTACAATCAATCAATGAGACCAGTACAAATTTCAAAAGGAATATCTACTACTTCTAGTAATAAAGTTGATTTATCTCTGACATCTTCAAATAATAAAGAATGTGATACTTAAATTTCCATGTAGACCTTTTTTTATTTTATTATTGCTAATTTAAGTTAAAGCAATTTTTTTTTTTATTTGGTTATGAATGATCAAATTTATTGGCTTAAAATAAGACTGTTTATAAACTAAAATATTCATAATAGTTTAAGTAAAATATTTTTAGCATTAGTTTTGACTCTTGGTCAAAAAATTTTTTGGCAACACTTGAATTTAATATTAAATTTTAGTGTATATTTTTAAAAAGATAGTTATCTTTAAGACAATTTTATAATATCATTGGTACAAATTACCGATAATTTTACAATTATAAACGTTATTTATGTAATATTTTTAATAGATTAAGGAAATATTTATGCAATTATTTTTAGCCCATTCCATCATATATCACATGTGTATTTTATATTTATCCTTTACAATAATTATATTATTTTTTATCAAAAAATTTTACATTTTGATCTAGATTGTTTAGTATTATTATATTTTAAAACAATTATTATGTATAAATATTTGTTCATGTTAAGCTATCATAAAATTAAACTATTTTATTCAACAAAGTTTATTTATTTATTTGTTCTAAGTGAATATGTGATTCATACCTAACATCTACCTTTTGATCTATATTATAAATTTTTGAAAAAAATGATGACAAGTGGTTTGTCATGGTTTATCAAGGAACATATATAAACCTAATATTTATAAGAATATTGCTACACTCATTTATACAAATTTAAAACTATAAGTTAATGAAATATTGTGAAATATTAAATAAATTATTCTTTTAAGACATTATAATATTATACACCTTAATCATAACATTTGACAGGTTTATTGTAGCTCTAGGTTATGTTATATATCTCTAAAATTAAAAAAAAAAATTATAATAAATAAACGAAGAGTAGATGTTATAATTTTATAAGTATCCATTTATTCATGAAACACTTATTATTATTTATGTTGTGAATAGACTAATTATTTTTTATACAATTCTTCGAATTAATAGTATAGGGATTTAATGAATGTTTGTTATTTATTTTGTACTACATCATATGTATTATAAATATCTAGCTTCTTTTCAACTTTTACATCAAGATAACTAGAAATATAAAAAACATTTTTTAATTCTACAATTTGTATTGTATAAAATAATATTAATTCATTAAAAAAAAAACAACATATATGTATAATAATACATAAAATAATAAAAATTCAATTCATTATTTATTTACACATAAAACAAAAATAATAATAAAGAGTTGAAAAACATTTACAAACATAAAATGTTTCAGTAAAGATAAATTAATAATATAAATTAAATTGAGAGGCTACATATAATTATAATTTCATTAAGTCTTATACAAAAGATATTCTTTTAGTGCATTTGGTAAAGGTAATTTTGATACTGATGCTGCTTTTATATTTTTCAAAATGGTTTCTCTGCATGCACTTTGTAATGAATTTACTGAAATCAAAAATTTAATAGTAAATCATTCAAAATTTATATTCTTTATATTTAATATTTGTACACCTTAAATGCAAAAATTTTAAATTAAGGATGAAATGCTTACCATTATAAACTTGGATAATACGGACTCTTTTAGTAGCACCATAAACATCGATTACTGCTCTAATAGGACAATCATTATATGGAATGCTTCTTGAAAGTGGTACAACAAATTCTCCATTAATAATAAAATGCATAATGGCCATATTTTGGCCACAAGGTAAATACACAACTCCGACACGACTTCCAACGTCTGTTGGTAATATATCCATTTTATTTCCATTCGAAGGCCTTAAGATACTGGTGGGAAATGTACCACGTGATGTGTATATATGATTACCATCTAAGCGGAAGTATTGGGTCAAATAATTAGCTTCATACCATGCTTGATGTTTTGTAAGAGCGCAAACCCACGATTCACCCAAAGCTTTATTTGAAACCATATCTGGAATTGCGCACTGAGGTAGAAGATGTCCACTATGTTGTAAAGCATCTGGGTCTAGTTGAGTAAGACCCAAACGTATATGGCCAGACCAGCCATTCTCACTACTTTCAATTTCAATTAAAAATACCTCACCTGGGGATAGAGATCTTTCGCTAAAAACTATGGCATTCGCAAAACTCATTTCTCGATGAGCTACAGTATCATGTTCGTGTAGACTCAAGTTGTAACCATGAAACCTATGAAATTTTGTTTGATGGCAATCTAACGGCTTTTCAGACATATTTCTTTAAGTTATATTCTATAAAAAATAATCTTGAATCAACAAAGCAACAATTTTTTCAAGTCATAATAAAACTAAAAATGCGCTCTCAAACACCCGTAAGGACATCATAACTAAATGTTAAGAAAAACTTTTCAAACATTTAAAATTCTTACTTAATTTTAACTACTTCTTTGCAACACACTAATCACTGATTAGTCCGATAATGATACAAAATAAATACAAAAGTGTTATCTACCAAACATTCTTATCAGTTTTTATTGTAACTCAATTGTAAAATTACTTAATTTTGGCGAAAAAAGTACAAACAACACATTTCTTAATTAAAAACAAATGTCCCATGAAATCTTTGTTATGAATTTAATTTAGAAAAAAAATTTTTTCTTTATTAATACTCATTATCAATTAATTAACTAATACATTTTGCTGTTAAATTTTTCGCGAAAACCATATTAATGACATGGTACTATACCTAATCCCTAAGGTCATCATCTATTTTTAATGAATGACATTTCACTTAAAAATAAGCAATCTGATTGGAATACATAGTAAATAAACTGGAATTTGTTAAAGGGAACTTCTGTAACTTTTTAGAAAAATTTTAGGAGAAACAAAAACTATTTTGCTATTTATAATTTTGCTTATTCAGATCAATCACTACAACTTCGATTAGATAATAATGTATTATAAATAATTAGCGAATAAAAATATTTTTTAAATCTTAATCATACGAATAGCAAAAATATTTCTGAAACATAGGTCCCTTTTAATAAATTCTAATATTTTGTTATTTAAAAATAATATAAACCTATGTAAGTTCGTCGAATCAGTCTTTTATTAAAAAAGTATTTTTTTTTTTTTTTCCGGTTTTTAAAGGCCATTGAGGCCCATTACCGCAACACAAATTTGCTTCCATCTGTCTCTGTCTTGTGCTATTGTTTCTCCATCCCGTATTCCGATCTCTGCTAAGTTCTTCTCCACTTTGTCGATCCACCTTTGTTTCGGCCTGCCAAGTGGTCTTTTCCCCTGGGGTTTCCATTTTAAAACTTCTTTCATAAGACCATTTGACCTCCACACATGACCGGCCCATGCCATTCTCCTATTTTTTAATACTGCTACTATGTCTGGCTCTTTATATAACTGTTGTATTTCTATATTGTTTCTTTTCTCATATTGTTGTGTCATGTTATTCATTTTTGGCCCAAATATTCTTCTTAATATTCTTCTTTCGAATATTGCTAATTTGTCTTCGTCTCCATTTGTTGTTGGCCATGTTTCACACGCATATAGAAGGACTGGTCTGATAATTACCTTGTATATTGTGATTTTTGATTTGAGTGATACCTGTTTTGATTTTAGTATACTCGTTACTCCGTAATAGCATTTATTTGCTGCAGTTAGTCTTATTTTAATTTCATCGTGATTATTATTTTTGCTATTTATTGTAACACCCAGGTATTTAAAATTTTGTACTCTTTCAAATTTATAATTCTCAACTTCTAAATTTTCCTCATGATTTTCTCGCCTAGATATTACCATATATTTGGTTTTCCCTTCGTTTATTTGTAATCCAATGTCTTTGCTGTTTATTATTAGTTCTTTGGTTCCTGCTTTGACTTCTTGACTGTCTGATCCCAATATGATAATATCATCTGCGTACGCTAGTACTCCGCATTGTCTTCTGTTCTCTTCCAAGTTTACCCCACCATATTTTTCCTGAGTTTTTCTAACTACCATTTCTAAAGCTATATTAAAGAGTATTGGGGATAGGGCATCTCCCTGTCGAAGTCCAGTCTTAACTTCAAATTCATCTGATATATGCTGATTGAATCTAACTTTACATCTGGTTTTATTCATACATAATTTGATCATTTTCACTATCTTAGCTGGTATCCCAAAGGTTACAAGTGTGTCCCATAGTACTTCTCTATTAATTGAATCATAAGCTTGTTTATAATCAATAAATAGTAGATGTAGATCATTGTCGAATTCATAATGTTTCTCAACTAGTTGTTTAACAGTGAAAATGTGATCTATGGTGGATTTACCACTCATAAAACCACATTGGTATTCCCCAATGATATCTTTTATGTAAGGTTTTATTCTATTTAGTATGAGACCTGACAATACTTTGTACATTGTATTTAGCAACGATATTCCTCGGTAATTTTGGTATCTTGATCTGTCTCCCTTTTTATAAATTGGACATATTATTGCTAATTGCCATTCTTTTGGTATTTCTTCTTTATGCCATACATCTCTGATTAATTTCCCTACTTCTCTTATTAGTTCCTCACCACCATACTTTAAGAGTNAAAAGTATTAGCACAATTAATATAATAAAACCCAGCACAGTGGGGTCGCGGCATAATGGAGACGTTGCATAGTTGGATCCAGTATAGATTTAATCTGACAGTGATTAAAATCGCTATCATAAGAAACGCTTTGATGCAAATCTGTAGATAGTGTTTAATTTTAAAAAATAGATGGATAATTACAAAAGCAACATCAACTTCTATTTCCTTAATTATACCCAGATTAGTAATTCTATTAATTATATATTATATAATTTTTAAAATTAATTGTTTTCAAATTATTATTGATTTTGATTTTTAATATCTTAAAAGTAATAATTTTGAACCTACTTTTTATTGTTCTTTAAAGTGAAAGTTTTATTTAAAAAAAAACGGTAGCACAGTGGGGACAAGGCATAGATGGGACAAGTATAGATGATATCTGACAGTGATTAAAATCACTATCATAAGAAACGCTTCGATGCAAATCTGTAGATAGTGTTTCCTTTAGAGAAATTGGTGAAATATTTTAAAAGCAACATGAACTCTTATTTCTTTAATTATATCCTGATTAGTAGTTCTTTGATTTTAAAATATAATATATGAATAAATACTAATTATAGTTTTTAAATTTAGTATGAAATTGTGAGGCCAGCTATGATGTATGGTTCATAGTGTTGGGCGGTTGATAAGAAAGTAGAGCAGAGAATAAGTGTAGCAGAGATGAGAATGCTTAGTTGGATGAGTGGAGTGACTAGAGAAGATAGGATAAGGAACGAGCATATAAGAGGAAGTATAGGTGTTGCGTCAATCGTGGATAAGATGACAGAAAATAGACTTAGATTGTTTAGTCATGGTATGAGGAAAGAAGAATCGAAAGCTGTAAGAACAGTTATAGAAATTAATGTTGAATGAAGAAGAGATAGAGGAAGACCAAAAAAGAGATGGAGGGATGCTATTGAATGCGATTTGAAGACAGCTGATGTGAGCGTAGAAGATGTGGGAGATCGTGTCAAGTGGAATCTTAGGATAAGGGTGCCCGACCCCAAGTAGTTGGGATTAAGGCAAAGAAAAAGAAAAATATTACCAGATATTCCGGTGGCAATTGACATAATATGATTGTTGTTTGGGAATGTACAATTTAGAGTTTAGTTGGGTACAAACAATATAGCGTCAAATCAATTACCTACTCTATCTCTTGTATATTAATATACACTACACTTTAAAGATACAATAAATAAATAAACTCACACATACACACATTAGCATTTATAACATTGTGTCTAATGTAAGTATAACATGATAAAAAGTAACCGTAAAATGAAAGAAATGGAATATAAATTTTAGTACTTATATTAAATGTAGTGTAACTCGAAAAATATTTGTTTAAATGAAAAAATATAAGATCATTTTTTTTTTGTTTATAATTGTCTTTTAAACAACTTTTGTTCGAAACTTTTTTTTGTAAGTTAAATATTTTTTGAGAAAATTAAAAAAGCTCATATTTTTGAACTTTTGCGAAGCTGTAAAAAATAAGCTCAATTCTAATCAATGAGGACTATTAGTATGTCATTATACAAATTTCAATTCAACTTTTAAAAAAACAAAATTTGGTTGGGAATTTTTTTCGCAATTTTTCCTTTGTTGTCTTGACATCTAGGTCATTTTAAAGTTGTAATTGAGTTAAAAGTTATGGTAATATATTCAATTTTTTTTACTTTAAACTTTCATAAATCTTTATCAAACATTTTTCATCAACTTTAAAGAACCAAAATAATAGGTTAAAATTGAAAATTTGGACTGATTATTTTTAACATATTAAAAATCAAATCAGTAATAATTTGAAAACAAATTTTTTTTCTTTTAATTATTATTTTATATATAATTAGTAATAATATCCAAAAATTAGATGATAGAAAATGTCTACTTGATTTGAAAACAACGCGAAAAGTTGATTTAGAAAAGTATTTTTTTGCTTCTGATGAAAGTTCCTTGTAGTTCAGTGCATTTTTTTATAGTAACAAACAGTTTTTATTGAAAATTATTGTATCAAGCCCTTTAAATATTTATACACGTAAAAGTAAAGCAAAATATAACTTCTTTATTATTTTTATAATTTCTCCGTTTAAATTACAATATTAAATTATTAAATATCAATTTCATACTAAATTTAAAAATTATAATTAGTATTTATTCATATATTATACTTTAAAATCAAAGAACTACTAATCAGGATATAATTAAAGAAATAAGAGTTGATGTTGCTTTTGGAATAATCCACCAATTTCTCTAAATGAAACATTATCTACAGATTTGCATCGAATCGTTTCTTATGATAGTGATTTTAATCACTGTCAGATTAAATCTGTGGCGGTCGAATGTTCTAGAATGTTCAGCCGCCGCCGCCTCTAGAAGATTCCTCTGACTATTTAAGGGCAAGATCGTCGCTCCAGTCAATCAATCGATCAGTCAATTACTTACGCATTCTGTCTCAAACGCACTTCGTCTCTCGCTGTTATTTGTTAGTTCGTTGTAATATAGTATAGTTGTTATTAAATCGTAAAAGTGTTTATTACTTCTATATATTACACCTCGCTACATTGGTGACCTCGACGATAACAAGTATGAACGCCGAAGAACTACGCAATCAATTGGAGGAGTTACGCCAAGAAAACGCTCGCCTTGCAGCACTACAGGCACAGCAATATCCAACAGCTTCAGTGAATCGCGTTGCCGTCAAGTTGCCACCTTTCTGATCCGAAAGACCGAGCTTATGGTTCTCGCAGGTTGATTCGCAGTTTGCAATCTCGGGAATAACAAGTGAGGAAACAAAATTTAATTATGTTGTGGCTCAGCTTGATACGCGTTACGCCGCCGAAGTAGAGGATATTATTACTAACCCACCGCCTA